TTCCACCTGCATTGCTGATACTGGAGATGTTTTAAAAGCTCCACCACATATTCTCAGGGCCTGAGCTTGTAGGACATCCAGCTTTTTAAGGTTAGATTCTGCTGCTGCCATGAACGCTATACACCCATAATCGAATACAGGTCTCATGAGTGCCCAATATATATTCAGAAGTGATGACCTACTCGCTCCCCACTCCTGCCCCGCCAAACACGAAGTACATTGTTGACCTTTTTACATTTATTTTGAACTTTTCCTATATGACTGCTCCATGTTAGCTTTCCGTCAAACCAAACACCAAGACATCTTATTGTATTAACCTGTTCAAGAGGTTGCTCATACCATTTTAACCATATAGGAGCAATGTTCTGCCGTTTGTAAAACAAATGACCTGCGTCTTAGCTACTGACAGTTTGAATCCCCATTTATTTGTCCATTTCTCCACTTCAACTATTGCAGCTTGTATTTTCTTTCCAACATGTGCTACATTGCGGCCTTTTGCCCACAAAGCCCCATCATCTGCACACAAAGATTTCCCCACACTTGGATGAACTTGATTAAAAATGTCATGCATCATTATATTGAACAGCAACGGACTACACACACTACCTTGCAGAGTACCATTTTCCACAGCATAAACACTTGAATATTCTGCACCTACTCTTACTTGTATTTTCCTGTCCAGTAAAACATTCATAACCCAATTATATGCTTTACCACCAATTCCCAATGATTTAAACTTGATTAGTAGTCCTTCCTTCCAGAGCATGTCATAAGCCTTTTCAATATGAAAGAAGACTGCAATCACTACTTCCTTGTTGGTCTGTGCTTTCCTGATGTCTGATTCTAAGCACAATATAGAATCCATTGTATTCCGACCCCTCTGGAACCCACTTTGATATGGGGACAACAGAGCTTTACTTTCTAAGATATATGTTAACCTTTCTGTAACCATTCTCTCCATGATTTTGCATAAATGAGATGTCAGGGCAATAGGCCTGTAGCTAGATGGATCTGAAGGGTCTTTCCCTGGCTTCAGGATGGGCACTATTATCGCTTGTTTCCACTCTGAAGGAAGTTGGCCAGAATCCCACACCCTATTAAACAACCTTAACACAATGACTAGAGAGTTATCTGTCATGTGTTCCAGCATTTTGTAACAAACACCATCTTTCCCAGGAGTGGTTTGGTGAGCACTAATAATTGCTCTTCTCAACTCAAACATACTAAAATGCAGGTCCAACTGATCTCCTAACGCTTCTACTCTATCCAATATTCTCGGGTTTTCCATTCGTGTATTATTTCTGCACTGCCTGGCTTCCTCTGTAAGGTTATCTGAACTATGAACTTTCCTAAATGTTTGAGCTAGAACTTCCGCCTTTCCTACGTTTGTGACAGCCATTTTGTCCCCTCTGCTCAAAACTGGCAACTCATAATTCCTTCGACTTCCCCCCATTCTCCTAATCATGCCCCAAACACCTGCAAGCTGTACTTCTCTTCCAATACTATTGCAATATTGCCTCCAAAAAGAGCGTTTTTGCGTTCTTATTGTTCTCCTCACTATAGCCTGGGCCCTTTTATCCTGATTCAAAGCTTCCTGAGAATGGAGTTGTTTGAGTTGCCTGAATGCTTTATTCCTGTCTTTAATGGATTTACTACATTCACCATTCCACCAGGGTCCACTCTTGGTGCGCCTAACTCCTGCACTTTCCGGAATGGTTTCTTTAGCTGAATGAATGATAACCTTAACCAGCTCATCATTTCATTTATTTATATCATCATCATTTTCCTCTTGAAGTGTTTTACATCTATTCGTACTTACAACTTGGAAGGCATCCCAATTAGCCTTTCCCAATTTCCATCTAGGAATTTTCTTTTCCTTTTCAAACCTTATGTTGGTCCCAACTTTAGTCATTACCGGATAATGATCGCTGCCCACTGTAGCATGCTTTACCACATTCCATGTACTTATACCTGCTAAAGCACTAGATACAAATGTCAGATCGAGTACTGTTTCTATATTCTTCGTGCAATTATATCGTGTTCCTTCTCCAGTGTTAATGCACACTAGCCCGAGGTCATCTATAAATTCCTCAACTACTGCCCCATTTGCATCTGTGCTACTGCTTCCCCATAGCGAGCTATGTGAATTAAAACCCCCACACCATATTACTTTGTCTTGCAGTGAACCCCCAGCATCCTCTAATATACTTTGATCTAATTTCCCACATTATAATAATTGACTATATCTCTAGGTCCTCTATCATTCCATACCCTTATAACTATTGCTTCATGATCTGTACTTACATGCATAACGTTGTAACTTATCCCACTCTGTATGCATGTTGCAACTCCTCCCCCTCTGCCAGAGTCCCTATCTCGTCTAACTGCAGTTTATCCCTTCACAATAAAATCCAGTTGTGCTTTCAGCCATGTTTCCTGAATACAAAGAACATTAGGTTTCTCTCCCAGGTTGTCAATATATTTTTTGAACTCTTGTCCATTTGAAATTAAACTTCTAGCATTTCACTGCAGTGCAATTACCACCATCAGGATGATCCAGTCCATGTCTGATGTTGTTGGACGTCATCATTTAGGATATCTTTCACGTGTCCCCAGTGCATCCCTTTCACATCAAGGTACTTTTCAGCTGATTTGACAATTATTTTGATTCTTTCATTCCAGCTTGTAGTCTGCGCTGAACAGTTGATCATCTCTGCCATAAACAGTACAAACTCTCTTTTACTCACTATCAGAGTGTCCTCCTTCAACTTAACTTCCTGCCTCGTCACTTCCCTCTGCCATCTCTCGTCCAGTCACAGTCCAGTGTTGCCACCACCCCCTCTACCGCTCTACCGCAGACCGGAAGTTTACAAGCGCACGCTCAATGAACCGGAAATGGAAATACGTCATCCCGTGCAACTAGCCTATTGTAGTGGATTAAATATTAACACATGTGAGTGTGAAGGTCCAGAGTCTGAGACCCGCCCCCTGCTTCCTGTCTGTTGCTCAGCAACATGGAAATGTTCCACTCTGACACAACGTCTGTTTCCTTCTCATCATTACTCTTCTTTCCTGAGAAGTGATCAACGTTTCTGGGAGTGGACAGACTTTGTCACTAAGATGGAGTTGGAGAGATATAAAACTTGAATTGTGTGAATTTAAAGATTAAGTTCCTGTTTTAAGGTCCAAGCGAGGGGGGGTGTCTTTGTTTGTGTCACCAAATCTACTTTCAGTCTTTTTGCATATTTTTTAACACTTTTTCTGTATTTATGTGATCGTTCTAAGTCTGTTTTGATCCCCTTTAAGTCCTTTTGCTTTCTAAGAGGTTTCTTTGTGGATGTTTTAGTACTTCCTCCTCTCCTTGCAGTAATTCAGCTTCTCTCTGATGTTTCTTTAGTCATTTGATCATGGACGTGGGAAGGGGGGGGGGGGGTGCTGAGGGGGCTGCAGCTCCCCCACCTGTTGGCGGAGAGTTGTAACTGCAACGCCAAAAAGTTCACTAATCAAATCAATACAAAAGTTTTATTTTGAGTATGTTTGAGTTAGCATTTTAGTGTAAGCAGTCTCTAAAAAGCTTCACTATAAGAGAAAGTGATAATGCAGTGTGCTTCTTCTGTTGCTCTGCTATAGAAAAGAAGCTCGTCAGCGCAAGATCAGGGATGGGAGTTTTGTGAAAGCACGGTTTAAGAACTGGCGAAAGGCAGAGGAAACATTTAGGGAGCATGAGAAGTCCCATCAACACACAGGCCGTCAACAAACTGGCAGCATGACAACGAACACCGATGAATGCGCTGCTCTCACAAGCTGTTGCTAAAGACCAAATGACTGCATTTAGTGTGACGTTATTATACCAGACCCTCCCTCCACGCAGATCACGCAGACTGCGTGGGGCCTCGTTTTGCGGAGGGAGCCTCATCTGAAGCGCAAATGCAGTGTTACCCCATAATCCCACCAGGAGCGTCTGCGCTGCGTTGCGCGGCGGCTGCGGCGTTTTTAGCGATCGCGGCCACTCTAGTCAATGGGTGCTATTCCACCAGACACGCTGCGCCGCGGCTCGAAGCGTCCCAGAAGCTCCTCGCCGCAAGGAATTTCTAAAATATAGGATGAATCCTATTTTTTACGCGGCGCATCGCGGCGCAGGCAGGAAGTGGAATGTTCATCCAACAACTGCGAGGCTGCACACACGACGCTCAGCTTCCGCAACGTTTTGAAACGCGCCTGGTGGGACGCAGGAGGAGGTCGCAGCGCGGCGCAGCCGCAGCGCAGACGCTTCCAGTGGGATCAGGGGGTAAGCGCCAAAGTTTCGCCGCTGCGAGGCACCCGCACCCCCCACCCCGCACAGGTGAGCCGCAGAGAGTCACAGGTGAGAGTCACAGGTGAGAGTCACAGGTGAGCTGCAGAGAGTCACAGGTGAGCTGCAGAGAGTCACAGGTGAGCTGCAGAGAGTCACAGGTGAGCTGCAGAGAGTCACAGGTGAGCTGCAGAGAGTCACAGGTGAGCCGCAGGGAGTCACAGGTGAGTCGCAGAGAGTCAGAGGTGAGAGTCACAGGTGAGAGTCACAGGTGAGCTGCAGAGAGTCACAGGTGAGCTGCAGAGAGTCACAGGTGAGCTGCAGAGAGTCACAGGTGAGAGTCACAGGTGAGCTGCAGGGAGTCACAGGTGAGCCGCAGAGAGTCACAGGTGAGAGTCACAGGTGAGAGTCACAGGTGAGCTGCAGAGAGTCACAGGTGAGCTGCAGAGAGTCACAGGTGAGCTGCAGAGAGTCACAGGTGAGCTGCAGAGAGTCACAGGTGAGCCGCAGGGAGTCACAGGTGAGCCGCAGGGAGTCACAGGTGAGCCGCAGAGAGTCACAGGTGAGTCGCAGAGAGTCAGAGGTGAGCCGCAGAGAGTCACAGGTGAGCTGCAGAGAGTCACAGGTGAGCCGCAGAGAGTCACAGGTGAGCCGCAGAGAGTCACAGGTGAGCTGCAGAGAGTCACAGGTGAGCTGCAGGTCAGCGTCCTCGGGGTGTGTGTATCGGAACCAGGAGTAACGGACCGCGATCCCCCGTGAACACACACATCTCACCGTCACCGGACCCCCCCGACAGGTGGAGCCCTCCATCAGGGAGAACAGGTCTGGAGGCGGGGCTTAGAGACCGGGACTGAAACACAGAGGAGAGCAGGGCAACCTTTTGTTATTCCAATTCATCTTGTTTTAATTTGTATTGGCTTTTTCTTTACTGCATTTAAATGTAGTTGTATAAGATGCTTCCTTTGCACCATATCTTATTGATTTATTTATGCCTTGTTAAAATGTGCTAAATAAAAAAACTTGATGACATAAATGTATTTATTTTTGCATTAGACTGAAGTTGTTGAATCTGACAGAGAACGCCTAATCAGGTTAAAGGTTACAGGTTATAGGACCAACTTCATCACCATGCTATATTCTGACTGGGGGGCCAGTTATTTTCTGAGGGGGGCCAATAAATGCAGGACGAGAAAGACAAAGACAGTATGAAGTAATTGCGCATAAGAAACAATGCATACAGTTATTCTTTCAGTACATATTTATTTCAGATACTTATAGTTACACTTTTTACGCTCTAATGGGTCCGACTAGAAAGATTGTCATGGCTTCATTCCTTGTTTTTCTATCAAGCCACTAGACGCCTAAACAGACACTTCTAACTCGTTTTCTTTCCTTTATATTACTTACAGTTGAAGAGTTACTCGGCCTCCGATGGTTTGGATGAAGTTGCGATGTGTTTGAACAAAATAAAATAACAAACTTTTACACAAGCAACAAAGAAAAGAGGCCTTTACAATATTCAAAACAAAGAGGAAAAACTCATATCAAATAACAAACGACGGTATTCTTTCTTCTTGATAAGGCTTCTATAACTTCATAACTTAAGGCAAGGCAAGTTTATTACATCGGAGTGATCCTGTGCGTCTGCTGACTGGCACACCGGGCACGGGGGTTTCATGGTGATACCTGTTAGTTCAATATTGAACCCTCTCCACCTGCAGTGTGTATTCTCACCTTCAGTGACGACCACCCTCACTGACGTCATGATGTCAGCATAAGGCCTGTCGATCCCGACCCAGTAGACCCCGCTGTCCCCCTTCTGCAGATCTAAGACCCTCACAAACAGTCCTCTACTCCGAGCATCCACGATGTGAACCCGGGTGCTTCTGGTCTTCCCCTCCGAGTCCACCAGCACCTCGCAGGTCCTCCTGGACTCTCCTCGGCACCAGTACTTGTTGCTGAGCAGCTGGTTCTCATAGCTGCAGGAGAGCAGGAAGTCTGACCCGAGGGGAGCCGTGATCTGCTTCTTATCACACTGCAGCTGCAGACTCGCTGAAACAGAAAGGGAGTCTGAGAAGAAGCTCTTTCATGTCATACCAACAGTGGGTCTGCTAATGCACATTCAGAGTGCATGGGAGTTGGTTGCTTGTGAATATCCCCGTGAGAAATAACATTTGTACCTGGAAATACTTTCCACACACCTGAACACACAGAATATCACGTCAGCTAGGAATACACATCTGTACACAGGTATTTATGTTCTGTGTGTGTGTGTGTGTGTGTGTGTGTGTGTGTGTGTGTGTGTGTGTGTGTGTGTGTGTGTGTGTGTGTGTGTGTGTGTCAGAGTTCACGTTAGCCGGTAATTACCGGACTACGACCAGTAAAATATGCTGAAGACCGGCAAATCTAAATCTCTCCGGTCAAAGTGTCAAAAATAATTTTCGTTTAGCTCAATACCACATCAGTTGCGCAACTTGCGCCATTTATGTGACAGACAAAAGAGTATGTGACAGACAAGAATAGTCAATTATAATGTCTAACCTGTGTCTATAGAGGCTTCTCAATACTCAAATTTCCATTCCTCGACTCCTCGGTCCTCGGTCCTCCAGTAGTGACCCGGAAATGAATTTCAGCGCGCCATTTTGAAGGACGTCTCATTTCTCTAAATGCACACCGAGGACCGAGGATCGAGCGTCGAGGAGGCTCTCTGGAGGAGCTCTAACCGAGGATACACTGATGGTTCCTCCACGGCTCCTCCGCGGATGCATTTCCGGGAACGGTGGAGGCATGACGCACGGCCGGACTTATCTCAGCCAATGACAGCTATGCATGCATCCCCTGGATATTATTTTAGAAACTGCTTTCATTGCGTCGCGATCTTTCCAGAGAGAACAGCTGTAAGCAGTGCTTGAATTGGAATGAAAAAGGTGCCAGTACTCTAAAATCAGCAACTTTTTCAAGTCAATTTTATATATACAGCCCACAAACAAGAATTTGGCTACTATAATGCTGGTGGGTTTGTCTCTTTACTACTGTATATTTTAGAAAGGTTCACTGTACTTAACATTTGTTATGATAGGCAGCGGATATGGCTAAAGCTCAGTAAGGTCAATATTAACTGAAAATATAGCAATCAAAGTCTAGATCTTCTGCTGAAGACACATGAAGCAGAGACCTTTCAGGTGAGAGCCCCTCTGGTGGTGTTCAACATTAATGACAAGGAAACAAAGCTCTGGTCAGAAGCATTTTTTATAAAAAGATTTAACAAAATTAAGTATTTCTGTACATTTTGAATGCAATCTAACTTTCCAACTCAGAAAACGAAAAACGAAAAAGTGCCAAAAGTCTTCTCACATGGCTGAGCTGCTTTGCAATATACTTCACCACTGAAGAATACAAATATGTATAAAGTAAACTATGATGCAATCTAACTTTCCAACTCAGAAAAATGATAAAGAGCATGTACAAAGAACATGTAAAAACAAATGCAAAATTTGCACAATCTAAAATGAGAAACTGTAACTGCAAGTAACAAAGTCTGAGCCATGGTAAAGAGTTACATTGCACACCAAGCTGATCAGATAACTCCCTGGTTGGTCTGAAGTCCTTCTATCTCCAGGATCTGTACAAATCGGCACATTATGCCAAAAGTCTTCTCACTGGGTGAGCTGCTTTGCAATATACTTCACATTGTTAGAAAAGGCTCCAGAAGGCCTTGGGGACATCAGTATCAGGGGCTGGAGCTGGACAGGCTCTTTCATCAGCACTTCTCCTTCCCTTTGCCAGCCAGGACCTCACATACTGTTCCGGATTGAACTGTCCTAGTGATGGTCCATTACATTGAATGAAAACCAGGCTGGACAGTCGGCTGACAGAGAGAGCATTCCTTTTTGCAGTAAGGATATCGTTCATGCAGCTGAATGCCCGCTCACACTCACTAGTGGAGACAGCGATGGTTCGGACTGCTTTCAGTAGAGGCTCCATGGCAGCAGGTGTACGGGATGCCCTGGTTTCCTTGTATTCGCGAAAGCCCTGAACAGTCTCTCTTCTGTCCACTTTCAGCACTTCGCACAAACGTAGCACCTCTACGTCCCCATACTGTACGTCTAACTCCTCTTCAGGCCAACTTCCAGGATGGATAACTTTCATGTCCTGGATTAGCTGATTGTCCCGGGCCTCCCGGCCATGTAATGGGATTTCTCTTGTGCTGACATGAGAGGAGGTTGTGGAAGTCATTCTGTGTCTCAGATTCTCTACCATACTGCGGAAAAACTGACCTGCATGAATCTGTACAAGCCTGCCATTCTCACGCAGGGCAACACCCTTGAAGGACTTCTCAGCTAGAGCTGTATGAACTGTAGTCATGTGTGGGCCAGGCATGGTGACCATGGATTCAAAAACTCGTATTTCTCGAGTTAAGAGCCTATCTGCTGTAGGCAGTGTCATCTCTCTTTTTTGGAGTTGCCGAGAGAGGTCGCTGAGCTCTGTGAGCGCATCGTACATCAGTCCCAGATTGCTGACAAACATTGCAGATGTGAGCACATCATCCAGGCCCTTGTACTTTGCTCTGTCTCTGGAATCCCTGCTCGTGTCGTTTGCAGCATTTGTGAAGTGATCATGAAGCACTCGGTAGTTTTCCCAGACTGCTCTGACGCTCCTTTCACTTGAAGCCACCCAGCGGATGGACAAAACACGCCCTATCACCAGGAGACGCTGTCCGACTGCTTGCGCACACTGCGCTAACTGCCTCTGATTTTTGGGGGAGGCATGGAACAAGGAATAGAGTTTGTCAAAAAAGATCTGGAAATGATTGAGCCCTGAGACCTCCTTGACCACATCCCCAACTGCCAGCTCTAGACGATGATTGGAGCAGTGCCACACAAACAGGCTTGGGAATTTACTACACAACTGGGTAGCAACGCCTGTTCTCTTCCCTAGCATGACTGAAGCCCCATCACATGCAAAAGAAACGAAATACTGACCTAAAAAGTCCTCGTTAAAATCTCTTCCAAGACACTCCATTAACGCCTTTGTGATGTCATCAGCCGTTGTTCCATCCAACTCGATCAGCTCCCAAAAAAACGTTTCGGGCTCAGCATCAGCTAATGCTGAGCGTAGACACACAACAAGCACCGTTTTACCACTAATAGTGGTAGGTTCATCGACCAAAACACAGAGTTTTCTTTGGTTTTCTGTAATGTCTTTTGCCATTTTTTCTTCAGCTCATGAGCTATGTGGTCGATGATTTCGCCACAGGTTTTATTGGAGTGCAAAACCCTGCCCACGTTCAGCCCATTCAGTTTCTGTACATTCAAATCAATTGGCATGTCTGTGAATGGCCGGCTATGTTTGCCAATTTTATATGCCGTTCGAAAAACTCTGATAGTGGTGTCTAATTCAGATTTATGCATAGACTGCACTTGATGTTGAATAGTTTCACGTGAAGCAGATGTAAGGATGTCAGCAGCTTTTGCATGGGCTTGTGATTCTTTATGTTCTTTGATTTTTTTTCTCAGGCTAGCTTGTTGTTTGCCCTTGTCAACACCGAAATGAGACACTGCACACTCACCCCATTCAGTTGACAGTTTCAGTCCTTGTCCAGTGTGTATTCCCAAAGATTTGACATCTCTGCATATCCGACATCCTAGCTTCTTATCTTTAAGAAGGAGCCATGCATTGGTCTTGCAAAAATATTGCACCTGGTCCGTTGTCCAGCAGTCAGGTGCATGCTTTGCCCGATGTTGGTGGTGGCAGTTGCGCCAGCAGCAGCTAACGTTAGAGGCTCTGGAGGAGGCGGCGGAGCTAGTGCTAATGCTAATGCACTAGAACTTGGAGCAGGAGGATCAACCAAAGAAAGCTCCCCATCAGACACAATTTCCAACACAGGCACAGCATTCTCTGTATTTGAAGTTTCTTCCGGCGACAACCGCTGTCTTTTTGCACTTTTATTAATCCACGCTAACATTTTAGAAATGCTAATTTGTGACGTGACTTGCTTTCCTTCTCTCGGGGGCGTGCCTGCTCTGTTCTAGCACTCTACATAGCCACCCACTGGGTGGGAGTTGCACTGCATAAACACAACACACGTGCATCTAGGTATGTAAATTGTAAAGCATTAAAACATGGTTTTACTAACAATTTTCTGTATGTTGTTACTTCGGCATTATTATTATTATTATTATTTTGAAACGTGTATTACTATTAAATCACGGTCAAATAGGTTAATTTTGACATAGTCGTTTCCACCACAGTATTTACATGGAGAAGATAAGCCCCGCCCCCTCTCCAGCAGGTTCTGTTTGAATGACAGGAGTAAACAGCTGACAGCCGCTGTGAAACTCCAGCGGTTAGAGCGATGAGAATGTCCGTTCGGCACCTCATGACGCATCTACTGAGTACCGGGCGGCTGTATATATATATGGATGTATAATAAGAACGGCGGGAGAGTGTTGAGTACTGGCACGGTGCATGAGTACCGGAGTACCGCCAGCATGCCGGTACTGAGCAAGAAGTGCCGGTACTCCATGGGTCAGAACCAGAAGTGCCGGTACTGCGTACCGGTGAGTACCGGCCCAATTCCAGCACTGGCTGTAAGGTCCGTGCAGAAAGCAGAGCAGTGTGTATAATATATATCACTCAGTATAACAGGCCTACTCTCTTTATTTGCTTTAGTTTAGTAGATATCTACAAACAAAGAGTCGATATTTTTCTAAGACCATTGCTTCACATAATAAAATACACAACGGCTTATGCTTTAGGAGCTGTAGTTGTGTGTGGTACAGTGTGTAGGTGTGTGTGGTACAGTGTGTATGTGTGTGTTGTACAGTGCGTAGATGCGGCGGATAGACGGGTCTCAGTTGGTTTGGTGTCCTCTGCTTACTTTTAATAGGCCTACTTGTAAATACAACTTTTGGCCCGTAATTTCAATTCCCCATTTCAGCGACCAGAGAGAGGGGGGGGGATATATCCAGTCTCTGATTGTGTTACGTTATTATGAGAGTGCTCTCATACTTTAAATTGTATATATTTATATAAATATATTTGTGTGTGTGTCCGCATCTGTAGCCTGTTATTGTCTCATTATACTGCACTCTCAATGAATTCAAAGTAAATATGTGGGGGAACAATGTTCAGCTGATCTAACAGAGATACAGCGCTATGACAAAACACTCGACAGCTGATGCAGCTGTTGCCACGTCATAATGAACGGACGTCTCTTTAAAATGACCGCTCAGAGGAGAGGAGTTCTCATTTCTTTAAACGTCTGCTGCTTCCCCTCCTCTCTCCTCGGTCCCCCTCCTCGGTCCTCCGCTCGCATCTCCTGTGGGCGGGTCTAAGTCTCGAGGAGGGGAACCGAGGAGGGGAGTCGAGGAGGGGAAATTTGAGTATTGAGAAGCCTCTTAACACGTAATGAGGAGAAAGAGATGTCCTGTATGGGTTGATTGTGCGTTTATCTGTTGGTAATGCCTCAGGGTTCCGGTGGGCATGTAAACAAATGCATAATGCTGCGCTATACTTTGTGGCCTCACCCGGTTGCATAGCGACACTTATTGTGTAGGTGTCTTTTGATAAGCAGGTGGTCATATCATTAGCTAGAACTAGCTAGATCTGATCGATATGGACATAAACGCGAGTGAAGTATAATCTGACGGGAGATGAGATCAGCTGCTGCTGACGAGTCGACACGCAGCTCTGCATGATCACATGCAGCGGTGAGCGGTTAGAATATCACACGTAGCTATTTGAATTGCCTCTCAAACTACCTAAACTAGTTATAGATATGTTTAGTTTTACTGTCGGGTCACTCATTACTGGATCCGCGAGCTGCATGATACTGACGGGCTGTCAGGAGAGGGAGAGCGCTCCGTTTATTATTCCCGTGTTATTGTAAATTACTGTACACTTTTGAATAATCTAGTTAATCTACTATAATTAGTTTGTTTAATATGGAATCATAGCAATTTGTTTTAAAGCACAATAAATAACAAAGAAGACCTTTGACCGGCACTTTTCTCATTTTGTCCGGAATATTTAACGGACATGTTGACCGGCGAAAAAATATTCTAACGGGAACTCTGGTGTGTGTGTGTGTGTGTGTGTGTGTGTGTGTGTGTGTGTGTGTGTGTGTGTGTGTGTGTGTGTGTGTGTGTGTGTGTGTGTGTGTGTGTGTGTGTGTGTGTGTGTGTGTGTGTGTGTGTGTGTGTGTGTGTGTGTGTGTGTGTGTCCTGGCAGGCCAGTGGGGGAATCCCTTCATCTTGGCGAACACCATACATTGACTGCACGACTTCAGGTCTGCGATGTGGACAGTACACCTCAAATACATACCTACACAACCTGGGGTATTTGAAGATAAGGGAATGACATGTTTATAATATGCTGCAAAACACAACAAATATGCAGGGTTACGAGTCTGTTTCTAAGGCCATTTTATTTTTGGTAGTCTGATCATTTCAACAAGATAATAGAATCAAACTGAAAACATCGTAGATATGTTCTAGATACATGAAAGTGAATACTTTAAGAAAAGGTTTGCCATTTTATGGGTGTTGTTGGTGTCTCAGTTTACCTTATTTATATGAATAGTGCAATATTATTTTTTGAACACTAGGTGGCGGGGTGTATAAAAGGGGTCATAGGTGAGAGGAGAGGAAGAGCATACCGATTCTACCAGCCAGCCCCAGCAGATGTTCATACTACAACTATTGACAACGTGTACTTAAACCTTGGTATGTAAAGCAATAAAACATCATTCTAAAACTGCAGCAAAAGACCGGAACTTCATATGGTTGTGTCTGCATCAGGATCACTCTAAACCCTCCTGTGAAGTAATGGCAAAAAGATATAGGACACTGGAACATTTAAACTGCCATTACATTAAGTAGAATCGTACTCTATGAGTGAAACTGGACAATAAGAAACATATCGCATTGGATTTAGTATCGTTTTCACCGGACAAACAATTGGATTACTTCACAACTGACACCTTCATCCCGGATCAGCTGGACAACATGCCAATTGGATTACTTCACACAGGGTTCTTACACCTTTTCCAAAGTCGAATTCAAGCACTTCAAGGTGCATTTTCAATCTTACAGCTGTTGTAAATTACATATTTATATAGACAAGTTTAGGCAAGGCAAGTTTATTTATATAGCACTTTTCAACACAAGGCAATTCAAAGTGCTTTTCAAAAAATGAAAGACATTAAGAAAATGGCATTTAAAATCAGTCATATATACACATCCTCAAAAGATTATTTCCCTACCTCACATTAAATCAGATGTTCTTTATGCTATAAACAACCAAATGTGTGTTTCGTGATAGCCTTCTACACGAGGATGAAAAATTAAAGAAAACTAAGTTTAATATTTCAAAATGAGTGATCTGTACGTAGACTGGGCCTCCCATATAACCTGGCTGAGCCAATATAAAACAATCAGCCAAATAACTTTTCAATACATTATTGATTACTATTCTTTTAGGTACTTTTAGGTTGGCAGTGAACATAAGTCAGAGGTACATGGTGTACTTTTCCTCCACTACATGTATTTAATCCCTTTAGTTACTTTACAGATGTGGATGAATGATGTGAAATATAATCAAGTGTTGAATCAGACTTTAGTTCCACCTGGAGTAAATCCACCAGCTACCCTGCAGTATACAAAGGCATTCAGACTAGCTGCACCTTCACCAGCTTTGAGAACACTTTCATGATCAATCATTATAAAACATATCATAGATATTATTCTGAAATGGACCAATCTGCACAACGACTACTTTTACTGTCTTTCACTATATTTTGATGATAATACTTTTCTACTTTCACTTGAGGAACATTTTGAATGCAGGACTTTTACTGTAACAGAGTATTCCTACACTCTGGTACTTCTACTTTTACTCGAGTACAAGATCCGAGTACTTGTACTTTTACTCAAGTACAATATCTGAGTACTTGTTCCACCTCTGGTAGTGTATTAGTCTGAATTGTAGCCACAAAATCACGCAGAGCTGCATACAAATAGACTCACAATGGTAACAAGTGGAAAATAGTATTTACAAATGTGTACAATGATTTGTAGGTAATTCTGACTACTCAAGACACCTGACTTCTACATCTTCAAAAGAAGACTGTGTTCATTCTACCATTACATGGGATTAAAGCAACATGTAGTTTTACTTGAATAATACTTCAATTTTATATAAAAGACAGTTTGTTTTCATCTGCTTTCAAATAAACAAAGTATTGGCTTTCAGAATATATTTAACTTGTTTCGGCAAATTCAGATGATAAAAACAACTTTGAAGCTTCGGCATAATTACAAGCAGAGAACTGACTAATGTAACATCACAGCAAGCATAACAACAGCCGGTGTTTCTTGTGAGAGTTTCCCCGTTACACAAACACAAAAATACACAAACACACTCGCGAGCTTCCCCCAGACCAGTAATACAAACGAAAATGTGTCTTCGGGTGAATGTGACTGATTTCGATAGAGCAAGTCAATAGATTATATTTCGTGACACGAAAAAAAAAAAAAAAAGGATTACCCGACACAAGGCCAATAGAGAGGCGAAGTCCCTCCCCTTCCGGTGGAGCTCCATGGGACCTTATTTCGAAAAAAAATATGTATTGAAGTCAATGGAGAGACAAAGATTATCTTTCGATCCCGTTTGAATTGTGCCACGAATTACACATCTAATGTTTGTCAATTTAAAAGATAATTTTGCAAGTAAAAAAAAAGTGTCATAAAACTGTGAACACATTTGTTTGTGTGAAACGCTGAATGAACTACATCTCCGGTCTCGCAGAACAACACACGTCACCAAGATGGCCGTCACTACTGTCATGTCAACAAAAGGATTGACTACCCTCACTATCACCTCAATGAAATACGTCCAGAAGAATGTCATGCAAAGCTGCCTAATGCCTTCCTTTGATTCTCTCTTAACTGCCTGGTCTATTTAATGTTTAATGTCAACCATTTCTGCAGATAGCATGAAGTAGAACAGATCGGCGATGCTAATGTAACAGTTTTACGACAAATTGTGACTTTTTTGACATGGAAATTATTTTTTAAGATTGACAAACATCATATCTGTAACTCATGGCACTATTCAAATGGGATCGAAAGATACGTTTTCTTTCTCCATTGACTTCAATACATTATTTTTCCGAAAATAAGGTCCCATGGAGCGGAAGTAGATGGGCGTGACTTGGCCACTCTATAGATGGAAATTGTTTATTGTAAACTGTGGAAAAAAACTAAATATGCTTAATTGCAGCTCCTACACTCTTTAAACCACTATGGTTTTTCTCCTGTGTGAACACGAAGATGTGATTTGAGAGCACTTGATGTAGTGAACGTTTTCCCACACTCTTCACACCAGTACGGTTTTTCTCCAGTGTGAATACGGTGATGTCTTTTGAGATGACTTGATGAAGTGAAAGTTGTCCCACACTCTTCACAGCTGTACGGTTTTTCTCCAGTGTGAATACGGTGATGTGATTTGAGAGCACTTGATGAACTGTAAGTTGTCCCACACTCTTCACAGCTGTACGGTTTTTCTCCAGTGTGAATACGGTGATGTAATTTGAGAGTACTTGATTGAGTGAAAGATGTCCCACACTCGTCACAGCTGTAAGGTTTTTCTCCAGTATGAATACGGTGATGTGTTTTGAGAGCATCTGATCTAGTGAAAGTTGTCCCACACTCTTCACACCAGTACGGTTTTTCTCCAGTATGAATACGGTGATGTGATTCTAGAGCACTTGATCGAGTGAACGTTTTCCCACACTCTTCACACCAGTACGGTTTTTCTCCAGTATGAATACGGTGATGTGATTCTAGACCACTTGATTGAGTGAAAGTTTTCCCACACTCTTCACAGCTGTAAGGTTTTTCTCCAGTGTGAATACGTTGATGTCTTTTGAGATGACCTGATGTAGTGAAAGTTTTCCCACACTCTTCACAGCTGTAAGGTTTTTCTCCAGTATGAATACGTTGATGTCTTTTCAGACTACTTGAATGAGTGAAAGTTATCCCACACTCTTCACAGCTGTACGGTTTTTCTTCTGTGTGAATACGTTGATGTAATTTGAGAGCACCTGATTGAGTGAAAGTTGTCCCACACTCTTCACAGCTGTACGGTTTTTCTCCTGTGTGAATACGCAGGTGGCGCTTTAAAGTTACAGATGTTGTGAAGGATTTGTCACATTGCTGACAGCTGTGACGTCTCTCTCTTCCTTTTGGTTTCTAGAACAGACGGACAGAGAAAGAGAGAAAGTCAATCTAAAAAGCATAAATACACAAGTTAACACAATAAAAACTCACTTAAAATAAACCTTGAGTTAACAAAATACTACTTATCAACTGTTTGGTTAGAATATTGCTGTATAACCGGCCTGCTCTCGTCTATCCCACGTGCTCCACTGAGATCCAACATCTAGTTTCTGGTGGCCTGTGGAATTGCCAGTCAGCTGTTCCTAAGGCTGACTTCGTCTCTGGCTACGCCTCCCTGCAGTCTCTGGATTTCCTTGCTCTCACTGAGACCTGGATTACTCCATCCAACACATCCACCCCAGCAGCTCTCTCCACTGCATATTCCTTCTCCCATACACCCAGACCCACTGGCAGAGGAGGTGGCACTGTTCTCCTGCTCTCTCCCAAATGGAGCTTTTCCCTCTTCAAACTACCTAATTTCACTCCTTCCACCTTTGAATTCCATGCCGTCACAGTAACCCATCCTATACAGCTAACCATTGTTGTTCTCTACCGTCCACCAGGCGCCTTGGGGGACTTCTTGGAGGAATTAGATCATCTCCTCTCACACATCCCTGAAACTGGCCCTCCCGCTGTACTTCTCGGAGACTTCAACCTCCAGATGGGGAAGATAGACGAACTAACATCTCTGTTAACTGCCTTTGCTTTCTCACTGTCTCCATCCCCACCAACTCATAAAGCTGGCAATGTCCTTGATCTCATATTCTCAAGGAACTGCACTACTTCTAACCTCTCTGTAAACCCGCTCCACACATCCGATCACTTCTTCATTTCATTCTCTCTACCGCTTTCCAAACATAACAAACTAATCTCTTCTCATCCTGCACTTGTCCGCCGTAACCTTCGCTCCCTCTCTCCCTCTACCTCGTCGGTGCTCTCAGTCCTCCCTTCCTCTGACTCGTTCCAACTCCTGCCACCAAACTCTGCTGCAGAAACTCTCCTCTCTACTCTCTCATCCTCTCTGGACTCTCTCTGTCCTCTCACATCTCGGCAGGCTCGTCAGTCCCCTCCTGCTCCCTGGCTAAATGATGCACTGCGTGCTAATAGAACCGTCCTTAGGGCAGCAGAGCGGAAACGGTGGAAATCCAAACACCATGACGACCTCCTAACCTATCAGGCTCTCCTCTCCTCTTTCTCTGCTTCGATCTCTCAGGCAAAAAGCACTTTCTTTCAAGATAAGATCCAATCTTCCTATTCCAATCCTAAAAAACTATTTTCCATCTTCTCCACCCTCTTGGACCCTCCCAAAGCCCCTCCCCCCTCCTCCCTCCTGGACCCCCCAAAGCCCCTTCCCCCTCCTCCCTCCTGGACCCCCAAAAGCCCCTCCCCCCTCCTCACTTCTGTCAAGCGACTTTGTTACCCACTTTGAAAAAAAGGTTGATGATATTCGCTCTTCTTTTTCTGACTCACCTTTACTCACCGCTGGGTCACCAGACCTTCCTTCCACCAACACACTGACCTCCTTTTCCCCTCTCTCTCCAAGTGAGGTTCTTACCCTCATTACCTCTGCCCGCCCTACCACCTGTCCTCTGGACCCTATCCCTTCAAACCTCCTTCAGACTATCGCTCCTGATATTCTACCGTTTCTCACCCATTTCATCAACACTTCTCTAACTTCTGGTCACTTTCCAAACAGTCTCAAGGAGGCAAGAGTAAACCCTCTCCTAAAGAAACCCACTCTCAACCCGTCTGATGTTATAAACTACAGGCCTGTCTCTCTCCTCCCGTTCCTGTCTAAATCACTTGAACGCGCTGTCTTTAAACAACTCTCCTGTTATCTCAATCAGAACAACCTTCTGGATCCGCACCAGTCTGGTTTCAAGGCAGGTCACTCCACAGAAACTACTCTCATTGCTGTCACGGAGGAACTGCACACTGCCAAAACTGCATCCCTCTCCACTCTCATCATCCTGTTGGACCTGTCTGCTGCATTCGACACGGTGAATCATCAGATCCTCCTTCGCACTCTCCAAAAACTTGGAGTTTCAGGCTCTGCACTTTCCCTCCTCACCTCATACCTGAAAGACCGTACCTACAGGGTGACTTGGAGAGGGTCTGAGTCCGACCCTTGTCAATTAACTACAGGGGTCCCTCAGGGCTCTGTTCTTGGTCCCCTCCTCTTCTCCCTGTACACAAACTCGCTCGGATCAGTCATTAGCCGGCATGGTTTTTCTTACCACTGCTACGCTGACGACACCCAATTAATTCTGTCCTTCCCCGGCTCAGAGACCCAGGTCGTCGCACGCATCTCTGCTTGTCTAGCTGACATCTCTCAGTGGATGTCTGCTCACCACCTCAAGCTCAACCTTAACAAGACTGAGCTGCTCTTCCTCCCGGGAAAAGATTGTCCCACTCTTGACCTAACAATCAACATCGGCACCTCAGTTGTTTCCCCGACTCAGACTGCAAGGAATCTGGGTGTGACCCTAGATAACAACCTGTCCTTCACTGCAAACATCGCTGCTACAACCCGTTGCTGCAGATACACGCTTTACAATATCAGGAAGATACATCCCCAGCTGACTCAGAAAGCCACGCAGGTTCTGGTCCAGGCTCTCGTCATCTCACGCCTAGACTACTGCAACTCCCTCCTGGCTGGTCTACCTGCATGTGTCATCCGACCTCTGCAGCTCACCCAGAATGCAGCGGCTCGTCTGGTCTTCAACCTTCCTACATTTTCCCACACCACTCCGCTCCTCCGCTCCCTTCACTGGCTTCCGGTAACTGCTAGAATCCACTTCAAGACACTGGTACTTGCTTACCATGCTGCGAATGGATCTGGCCCTTCATACATCCAGGACATGGTTAAACCGTACACCCCAGCGCGTGCACTACGCTCTGCATCAGCCAAACGACTCGCTGCACCCTCGCTGCGAGGGGGACCCAAGTTCCCATCGGCGAAAACACGTGGGTTTGCTGTCCTGGCTCCAAGATGGTGGAATGAGCTCCCCATTGACATCAGGACAGCAGATAGCTTGCACATCTTCCGGCGCAAACTGAAAACTCATCTCTTTCGACTCCACTTTGAGCGTTAGAACTATTAACAAAGCACTTATATACTAATAAAGGACTGGCTTATCTAAAGCCAGTTGAGTAGCACTTGAAATGTTTGGCTCTATGAAACCTGATGTACTTATATGATTCTGTTTTCTTCAAGGTTGTGTCTTCCTGGTCGAATGTACTTATTGTAAGTCGCTTTGGATAAAAGCGTCAGCTAAATGCAATGTAATATTACTGTATCAAATATAATACAAATATAATAAACACAAAGTGTATACCAGAGGTGGGGGACTCGAGTCACATGACTTGACTCGCATATTTTTTGACTTGAGAATTGCTTGACTAACATTGATAAAAGACTCGACTTGGACTTGGTATTCATAACTTGAGACTTGACTTAGGCTTGAGACAGATGACTCGAAAGGACTTTACTTTTTAAAATAAAAATATTTGCATTGTACGAAGCCCCTAGAGAGCAATGAAAGAAAAAAAAGAGAGAGAAAGTCTCTTCTCGTTCGCAGGAGAAAGTAGGAAGTGGAGCGCACTGGTGCAGGGGTAAAGTGCTATTTTTTTACAAGTGGGAGGTGGACCGAACATCCTTTAGGGGGGTCGTCGCCTCCTTTAGGGGGGTCCGGGGGCATGCTCCCCCGGGAAGATTATTTTTTAAATATTGAAGTTAAAAGCATCAATCTGGTGCACTTTGAGAGCAACATTAACCCTACCTTAATAATACCTTAAAGGGGACCTATCATGCTATATTTGAACAATATATATAGGGCCATACCTATATAAAGTATATAAATAGTTTTTTTTTCAAAATACCAAACAGCTCCTGCATTTTAGCCATGCCTCATTTTGCTCTATTTGATCTTTCCAGCCCTGTTTTTGCAGGAGGCCGATTCTGTGAGCTGCACCACGCCCCCCTGCAGGAGAGGGGAGCGTGCTTTGAGATCAGCTGCTGGGCTGCAGCGGGGAGAAGAGGGGGAGAAAAAGAGATCTCTTATATATTTCTTATATGATTATATAGAGTCATTATTCATTTGTTTTAAAGCTCAATAAATAACAAAGAAGACCTTTGACCGGCACTTTTCTAATTTTGTCCGGAAGATTTAAACTTTAATGTTGACCGCAGAAAAAAAATCTAACTGAAACTCTGCCGCACGGTCCCCTCGTTCCTTGGAAGAGGCGGAGAGGTGGGTGTTTGTCATCTGCTGGTGGACTAACCAGAGAGAATTGCAGCGAGGGAGGGATTGCATTGAATTACAGCAGCGGGAGCAAACGCTTGCCTCGGGGAGGGAGAAAAAGAGCCACAGCGGAGAATAAACAGAAGGGCAACCATAGCAACAATGCGCAGGAAGTCTTCTTCGCTGCTTTTGTGGCAGACTACAGCGCCATTTACAGGCCTGGCATATGTACTACAGCGTCTCCAGGGCAATGGCCGGCCGTGGCCCAACCCCACATTCCCCTGATAGGTGGAGAGTTGCCCACTAAGCGGAGCACCACTTCTGTGACGTAGAAAATAATTCAAATCTGGATCAGTCTGTATCAGATCCGTTGCAGCCCCGTTTTTAGAGATTTGGGTATGGAGGAAAATAGAGAGGGTTGTGTTTTCTGACACTTGGTGAGTTCCCTGGAACACCGGGGACACATATTCATGTATAAAAGACGGACAAAAGTGCATTTTGCATGATAGGTCCCCTTTAAAGCGGACAAAAGGCGCTGGAGAACACTTATTCATTAACACCCTTTAATGAAGCAAACTAATGCCTTAACTCACTCAAATACAGTCGTTTACTTATTTCAGTGAAACGAATGTGCGTAGAGTTTTAAAGGATGCGGATAGTCTCACCTTGATTCTGGCGCATTGCTTATCGTTTTATAGATCTATTCTCATCCACCATCTTTGTTTGTGACGTAAAGAGTGTAAGAGTCACGTTTCTGACTGTTGCCTGTCAGTTCCGTTGCTATGGTTC